GAAATCGCACTTAAAGGGTATAAGGATATGCATAGCTTATATAGGGCAAAAGATGCCTGAAAATGAGATTCTGCCAATTCTCAAATTACGGACAAATGGTTATGGCCTTCTCCCCCCTATAGTCCGCCGTACTTCGTATGGCCAGTGACGAAGGGGGAAATGATATTGCTTACTCGAGTGTACTCAGAAACTTGGTATAAATGAACAATGTTGAATAGATACGACATAGGCTCGTCAATGGAAGCTGCCGCTCCGCCCCTGTCACCGTCGCTTCGCCTGAGAACATAAGAAGAAGAAAGTTCAAACAAGTCGACGAGGCTAGGAATAATCTACACAAGCGAAGAAAAGAAAGAATGTTTCATGAAATCCATTTCGACCCTCCTCAGAAGGCTTAAGTATATTTGCGGAGCTATGAGAGAATATGTTAGTCAATCTGATCCAACAGGGTAAGCCCTTAACAGGGTAATACTCACGTCAAGGGTCAAAGACTTGCTGCTGTTCTCCACCTGGTCTCGGTAGATACCAACGAGAGCTTCGCTGTTCTGGAATAGTCCAGTCTTCAAACTGATGACAATGAACTGCATTCCAGGGGCGGCGTGGTCGTGAATGTAGTTGGCAATACGAGCCACGTTGGTGTTGTCGAGCGCAGCGTCAACCTCGTCGAGCACGAAGAATGGTGAAGGCTGGTAGGAGTGAATGGCAAACAGAAGAGCAAGAGCTGCCATGGTCTTCTCTCCACCTGACAAGTGCTCCATGTCTCGGAAACGCTTGAGTGGAGGCATGGCGTGGTACTTGATGCCATCGAGATACGGCTCATCAGAATCCTCGATATCCAAGTATGCTTGTCCACCAAGGGGGTAATTGGTACTCCGGGTCAGCTCGCGATAGATGGGGCCAATCTGCTCGGAGATGTGCGTAAAGGCCTTGTTGAAGAGATCGGAACGCTTCTTCATGACTGCCTCGAAATCATCCTTTGCCTTTCGAGCATACTTGCGAGCATCCTCAAAGTCTTTCTCGGTGCTACGAAGTTTGTTCTCGACACTCTCCAGGCGTTCCATAGCTCGCGTGTTGGGGGCCATCTTGTCCAGTTCACTGTTGAGAGTGCGAACCTTTTCAAGCAGCTCCTCCTCGAGCTTTTCATCGGTACCCTAAAGAAATAATAAGTTAAAATGAGGATCGTCGCCGGTTCCTAAAATCAGTAACGTACCTCTTTGAGCGATTCGCCGAGAGAATCGAAATCAACTTCAATTCCATAGTCTTGCACAACAGGAGTTTCATCCATGTCATCGGCCTCATCTACGTCCATAGCATCCGGGTCGGCGGCCTGCACCAAATCATCGATGGGAAGTTTATCAAGGCTATTGGACGAGTCGGTAAGTGGAACGTCGATATCCTCAAGCTTGCATCGTCGCAAAAGGGCGTAGCGACTGGACGAGTTTCGCTGGATTTCAGCTTCGAGGGCATTAATGTTCTTGAGGGCTCCCTCAACGTGCTTGCTGCGCTTCTGAAGTTCCCTACGTTGCTCGGCCAGGTTTTCTGCGGACTCTGCATAGATCTCCTTCTGCTTTTCGAGATTCTCGCGCAGCAATTCGAGTTCAGCATTTGACTCATCCAGGTTGTTGCGAATCTCCTCTTGCTCGCTCTTGAGCTCTTCAATCAAGCTCATATCACGCTCATACTGAGCCTTGAGGCCATTGATCCGGTCGTCCGTGGCTTGGATTCGCTGCTTTTCGAAACTCAGCTGGTTTTCAATGCGGCTCTTCTGCGTCGTGAACTCGAGCTTCTTTTGCGAGGCCTCTTCTTGCAAGGAACCCTGCTGAGCTTCGTATTCGCGGATATTGTCGTATCCCAGACGCTTGCAGAACTTGCGATAGATTTCATCTTCGACCGTGCTGACCGAGGCTTGCGTAGTTTCGATAGTCTCGTCCAACTCATCAAGATTCTCCTTGCGCTCGGTGTACTTTGGTCGCAGGTCTTCGTGCTGGCGTTTCACAAAGTCCAACTCGCTACGTTTGCTCTGAATATTCCTTTCCAAAGCCTTTAGCTCCTCTTTGGTATAGTTCAGGCGCTGTTCCAGGCCAACCAGCTCTCCTTGAAGGGTTTCCTCTTCAGAGCCCCGTCGATGGCTCTTTGGAAGGTTTGCAAGGTCTGCCATCAATTTGTCTTTGAGCTTGTAGAGATTTTCCACTTCAGAGTCCTCCCAGCGCTTAGAAGAATTCTGCTGAGGGCCTCGTCCGCCGGTCATAAGACCACCCTTGTGAATCACAGTACCATCCAGAGTTACTGCCTTGGCATCGACATTCCGCTCGTAGCACAGATATTTCGCCGTTGCGAGGTCATCGCAGACGATAGAGTTGCCGCAAGCATAGCTGATAGCTCGTGCAACAGAATCATCATAGTCAATTGTCTCAATAGCAGGACGCATGCCCCGGTGCATACCCTTCAGGTTCGAATTAAAGGCCTTGACTTGAATTGTCTCCAAGGGAATGAAGGTGGCTTGGCCCGCACGCTGGTCGCGCAGGTGCTGAATGCAATCCTTGGCAGTTTTTTCGTTGTCCACGACAATGGCGTCAAAGTGACGGCCTAGGACAGTGCTGACTGCATCGGCATACTTCCTCTGTTTGGGCCGGCAGAGGTCACTGACACGCCCTTTGACACCAGGGAAGATGCGCTTCAAAGTCGAGACCAGCTCCTTGGCCCGAATCTCCCGCTCGTTCTGCTTTTTGCCGTCATCAGCTTCGAGCAGCTTCTTCAGAACAACTTGGAGCTTCTCTTCGAGCTCGGTCCGCATTTGAGAAATCTTCAGGCGCTCCGACGTCAAAGCATTCAAATCTTTCTTCTTGCGGTCGATTTCCTTCGAGGTGGTCTTGACGGTCTCCGTGAGAGTCGACTTGCGTTCGTTCATATTTAAAGCCTCGGATTCAAGGTTCTTCAGTTGCCATTCAGTACTTTCGAACTTTCCTTTCAGGCTGTTCACGGCCTCTGCCTCTGTCTTCCGTTGCCGGCGAAGGTTGTCGAGATTGAGCTGATCAGCGGATGAGCGCTTGCTAACCTCTTCTCGCAACTTGTGATATTCCTGCTGGTCGGCTTCGCTCATCTGGACACCCTGTTTGCTCATGGTCTTCTGCCATTCAGCTTCCCATTGGGCCTGGGCTTTTTCGACGAGCTTGAGGTCCTTCTCGAGCTGTTTGCCGTTGTTCGATTGCGCCGTTCTTTCCTTGCCGATCTCCGTGATTTTCGAAGAATAACGCTCTACTTTCTTCTGTGTAATGTCGATCTTCTCGTCAATCGGTACCAGGGAATTTTTGAGGTCTTCGATATCCTTCTCCTTCTTGACGATGTTCCTTTCGGCCTTTCCAACGTCTCTGCCAACGCGAGCATGGTCTTTCTTGGCCTCCTCAACGTTCAGTTCGTACTTTTCAACGCCGCGGCGGTATTCCTTCAGCTCATCCTGGTATTTTTGGATGTCGGCGCTGGACGCATCGATGAGTCGTTGGAAGTGGAACAGCTTCCACAGAATGTGAGTGATGATGGCCTGGTCGCGCTCATCAGCCTTCTTAGCGTAGTTCTCTGCCTCCCTCTTCTGCTCCTGATACTGCTTGACCTCGGAATTGATGCCTCGTCGGCGGTTGAGCTGGACAGTCTGCTGTTCCGCAGCTTCTTCCGCCTCTGCCTTCAGCTTTTCGTATTCAGCCTTGTACTCTAGACTGCCGGAGATCTGCTCAATCAGACGGGTGAGGTCTCTCGGGGACTGCGAAGCGATTGCCTCGACATCACCCTGGAAAACCAGGAAGTTCCGAGCTCGGATCAGAATGTTCTCCTCCTCCAGAGCCTCGTTGTATTGTTGAGCAGTCACGATTCGGTTGTTGATGCGGTACTCGCTGACACCTTGGCTGGTGATCGATCGGCGCCATTGCTGCTCCTCGCCAGCATCATCTTCGTAGACGGCCATAACCCATGCAGTCTTGGGATCATTCGCGCTGCCTGCATCCTGCGACTCGTCCATGGCATCCGCATCCTCCTCTGGCTCGGCATCATCTCCGTTTGTGGCAGGTTCTCCATCCACTTTCGACGTGCGTAGGACGCGACCACGGTAGACAAGGTCGCGGAGGTTGGTAGAGCGCAGGTGTGATGACTTGATTCCTAAAACGAACGAGATGGCATCCATCCTGGCGCAGTTTAGCAACGACTGCGACTATCTCCAAACAACGAGGGGTCAGCTGATCACTTACGAGTTTGATTTACCGGACCCGTTGGGTCCAATGATGGACGTAAAGTAGGCATCTCCGAACAGCAGGGTATGATGACCCTTGTAGGACTTGAAATCTGGAGAAGCAAAAGTCAGCTAATGCGCGCGGCGCATTCGTTCAAGGTGTTGTGCATACTGAAAAGCTCGAGCCGAATAAGTTTCCCCATATTGAGACGAGTAAGCTTCCAGGGGAAGCAGCGCACTCGCAAAGGATCAGGCAAATGGCTTGCGAGTCGGGCTCTGTGATTGACAGCCCTGGGCTGGCAGATGGTGGGAGGGGCGCGATATGGGGATCGCGTCCCCGACGCGCCGGGGCAATCACGTGGCTCCTGTCACTTAGCCCAAGGCTTGTTCCTTTTTCGCTGGAGTACGGAGTATACTCCATCAAATAAATACACCTCATTTCTCCATCCTGTGAGAAATAGCTAGCCGATTTCAAACAAGATGGAGAAAAAGCACAACTGACTCAATGAATAATCGCAGAAGATTGCTCCAGATATTTTGACCCAAGACTTGACGGCGAGTAATCTAAGGATAACTGGACATACGGTCTACCAACGGATTTCTTAACTGAGAAAACAAAAGCAAAGACTCGGATGAGACTCCATAGAGTGGCGAAAACTCATTATCTCCTTCATTATACCGCGCTTTCCTTCATCCTGGCGTTTTCCACATATATTTTCATCAAGAGCGTCGTGCCTAGCGACTTGTATAATCATCTCGAGCTTATACGGGACAAAGCTCAGCACGCCTCCACGTTTATCCTACGTTGACACAAACTTTCCAAGTCTTGGGATTGCTGCGTACCATGTCTTCGACCGGAACAATTCCAGAAGCTGTGTCTGCTACTTGCCGATACTCAGTTGGTTGCAGGTACCTCGGTTCTGATAGTTCTGTATTCAAAACTTTGCACTATCACGCAGTAGCATTCTTTCATAGATGGCGAGCTTGTAGGCCTCTTTCTTGTCACCTTCCAGGCAGACCTCATGTCGGTCGTGGGACTTCAAGAAGGTGTGATATACCAACTTTATCCTCAGCCTGCGCACCTCTGTGGAGAATTCCCCAAGCCGCAGCCATGTTCTCAGACCTCAATTTTTGGCCGAAGTCATTGCTCGGATCGTTCTGGAAAACCGACAGGCAAGGGGGGTACTATGGTTTTCAAGATCATCGTCTTCAGAAAGACAGCAGCCAAAATTCAGTTCTTGGTCATGCTACCTCACTGCGCTCATAGAATTAGCATACCCATTAAAGCGCAAGTCTATCAGGGTCTGTATCCTTCATCATCAGAGGATGCTTTGGGATTGATGTTACAGTGTTCAACAATGTAGATACAATGGTGGGCAAATGTGGTGGGTATCACCAGTACAATCAAAGCCACCGTGTGATGCTCCGCATAAGAATCAAACTCTCAAGTGAGTCTCAAGAGTTCTGACCTCTCATTCTCACTGGATTGCCCAGGAGAAGGAAATCCCGATCAACCGCACCATTCGAGTCCATCCGGAACGTACCCTTTCGGCCGTCAATCTTAATGAGGATGAAGTCCTCACTCGTAAAGATTTGCCGCACGGATAGGAATATCCTCCAGATTCCATGGCTCAACCTCGCAACGGGAGCTTTGAAGAAGCTTGGCTTCGGTTCGTTCGAACCACTGAGAAGCTTCCTGCTATCATTCTCATAGCGCGCCACAGACTCTGGTGATACAACGAGCTTCTTGGAAATATGAACCTGAGATGGCGCAACCTCAAACTCATACATTCTGAATGGCAACATGCCCCGAACCTGGAAGCGGATACGAGGTTGGCCTTGGGAATGGACCGCCTTGATGCTTCGGATCATATTACCAGTCCGAACAAGGAAGATAGTGCCCATGACACTCATCGATACACAGATACCGCCAAATAGGGCTTGTTGCCACATAGGGAGGACGGTCACGGGGTCTCGGAAAACAGCGTTGGAGTTGTACACCGCATATGCGAAACAGAATGCTGACAAGCCGTATGCGCTGAAGTAATAGCTGCGCTGAGAGTGCGCCTTGAATAGAGTCACATCTCCTTCGTGAGCAACTCTGCTGAACAACCTTCCGAGTCCTCCTGCCTTTGGTTGTAGACTCTTGGGTAATTCGGCGTATTGGAGATTTGAGGGCGCGGTGCGTCTCTGAGGTCTAGGAACAGGCGTAGATCGAGGAGACCTCGTCGCGAAGGAGCGCCATGATGGTGAAAAGTATGTCTGAAAGCTGGGGCGTACTGGGTTACCAGCACAGGCACCAGGGCAGCGATGCCAGATTATTCGGAGGGTAGATGGTCTGGCGGACATGGTTGTTGGGCAAGCTCTATCCACATGATGGGTTAGCTGGGCAGATCGGGGAGTGACAACATAATGCAACGAGGATTCATAGGATTCAATTGAAGCAATCGAAATAGCACCAATGAGTCAATGGAGAGCATTAACTTACCAAATCTCCGGCCCTCGACGGTTGTTCTCCTCGGAAAGCGCCGCCAGATCGAAAACAGCCGTTGCGGCAGAAAAATGTTCCCGTCCCGGCCGCCGGTGAAAGCTCCCAACGCCCTCAACACCGACTAGCATTCCCTCTTCAGTTCGCTCAATTCACGCGCAACTCGATAACCTATAACATCCGGAACTAGCGCGGCTTGACGCGGTGGTGGGCTCTTGGTCACTCGTGTTTGTCTCTGCCTACCTTTGCCGACAATCCAGCTCCTTCGGAGAGCTGCGGACAATCGCTTGAATCTCCGCCCTCCCAACATCTACATCACCTCCCCCGGCCGAGCCACATACATTCATACAAAATGGCCGCTCGACTTCCTCTGGGCCAGGTACCGGCGATGTTCGCCCGCCGGCAGCCCACGGTGCTCCGTGCCTCTCGACGTGAGTTTTTCCGGGTGACATTTGGATGTGATGGCTTTCAGGAAGCAGAGGCCGTCTTATCGGAGCCAATTGCTCAAGAACTCTGAGCCCCGACAAGTCCATACGAAAACAATGCTGACTTTCAATGTCTACAAGGTCTCCAATCTTCCTCAGCTCCTCAAACTCAGAACCCCGCCTACCCCCTCTACCCCTCCGTCATCCAGCTCCTGCACGAGAAGAACATCCCCGAGTCGGAAATTTCCAAGATCCCCGCCTCCGGCCCCAAGGGTCGTCTCCTGAAGGGTGACGTTCTCGCCTACATTGGCCAGATTGGTGCTGAATATCCGGCCAACCAGGCCGCGACGCTGGCCAAGCTCACATACCTTGACCTGAGCAACATTAAGATCGCGGCACCGGCCCCGAAGCCCGCCGCGCCGGCCGCGGAGGAGAAGAAGGCGGAGGTCGCACAGCCCGCGCCCATGTCCTCAATCGCCATTTCCATCTCGTTGTCGGCCGTGCTGTCCGCGCAGAAGAAGATTCAGGAGAGCCTAGGTGTGACGGTTCCTCTGTCCCGTTTCTTGGCCATTGCCACGGACCTTGCCAACGACGACCTGCCTCGCTCCAAGAGCGAGAAGCCCTCTTCGGATGAATTGTTCGAGGAGCTTCTCGGCGCCGAGCCTGTCAACACATCGCGCGGCGATTACATCCCCGAGCTGAACGCTTTCGAAGCCTCCGAAGCCCGCCAGCCCGAGCCCGTGGTTGAGGATATCATTGATTTCCTGAGCGCCAAGCCCGGCAAGAAGACCGTTGCTTCCTCCGTCTCTGCTGTGGAGGGCGGCGCTGCCCAGAATGTGTTCAGTCTGACTGTCCCCGTGAGCGAGGAGCTGCGTGCCAAGACCTTCCTCGAGCGGATCAAGACTCTTCTGCAGGTCGAGCCTGCCAGGCTGGTGCTTTAAAATTGTCATTTCTCGTTATAAATCTCCCCAATGTCTTGGAGCTTTTTTTTTCTTTCTCAATTTCCCTTTGTCCACTCATGTCATCTCCACACTGCGTTGGGTTCAAGGCATCTGTATTTAGTATAGCATAGATAATCCGATACCGCCTTGATCGGCTTGATAAACACTCTATTATTGCTGAATTGTAGATGCATATAGGTAGCTCACGTCTGAATGGGTTACATCTCGCATGGTTTCATTATTTGCCCTTGGTCGAAGACATCCATCCATCACGGTGTAAGGTTGGTCCCGGATCTATCTGGCTGTATATATCTCGGCAGCAAGCTACCTACCGGAACTAGGCTCTCAGCTCTAACAAATCCTCCCAAAATCTACAAATCCCTAGAACAAGATGATTTCCAGTGAATCGTAGAAAACAGGTATTTACTATGAATCTCGCGAAACCTCCAATTATTCCGCATTCAAATTCACTCCCACTCCCCGGTAGGATGTATATAGATCTGGCGAGGACCAGGGGCTGATACTCCTCTCGCCGTTGAGGGTATTGCCTGGCCTGTAGGTGATGTTTGAATCGTGGCAGGTGAATGGAACATTTTGCGGACATAAGATGTTGTAAATTAGATACGTCTGATCCTTTTCGCTCCAGATACCGGTTGGGTTCATGTGCGAGGACGGTGCGATCTCTTGCTTGAAGGAGGACGGCCCGAGGGGTCTGGTTGTAGATTTAGCGCGGATGATACGACTGAAGGGTAACCAGTAGTTGTCACCGCAGCCATGAATGAACTCGAAACGATCAAGTGGTAGGGGCCTTTTTTTCGGTGGCCTTGAAGGATTTGGTTGCACCATGATGATGTCCCCTCTCTCGTGAGATTGTAGCCGTCTGCCCGCCGTCCTGTATGGAGGTCGAGTCGTCCACAGTCGCTGTCGTCCAGCCAAGGTCACAGACACAGGCATTGTGAGAATATATGTGGTTCAAATCGCAATTTTCATCATTGGTGCAGGCCAGAGATGGTGGCAGAAGCCCGGGAGTCGAAGCCAGGAGTGTGAGCTGAATGACTTGGTTCAGAATGTTTAGCGTCGGAGCTAGGTTACTGTCAGTAGATACAATCTAGTCATTGTTTGACTTCATCATTCAATTGACTACTCGCCCCGCACTTGGAGAGCTTCCGGTTATAATGTTTGATGGCGGGTGTAAATATAATGACATTGCCAGCAGCAAGAAGGAATAGGAAAACATGAACTTGAAACCTCATCTGCAACCTCATCCTCATTCTTAGCATAACCAGAAAACCTCCCGCGCCAAATAGATGATATGCGATTGCAAAATTGAAAAAAAGTATCAGGAAAGCTCAACATTAGCACATAGTCGAAGTGAAAGGGGAAAGAGATGGGGGCCGGGGGGGGAACAGCAAATTTGATATGGAATAGATAAAGTCGTATCATCGTCATGTGAAAAGGGTCAATGAGCCAAAAAAAAAAAAAAATAGAACCGTCCACATGTTGTCCTAACGCCGCGAGAGCAACCGGCGTATCCAGTCGCTTGATTGAAACACCATGAGCGCCACCGCTAGACCTGATGAAAGTGGATGAACCTGCGCCTGATGAAGAAGCCTCTTGTACAGGGACTGAAAACCGGAGGCAGGGGGGAAAACAAGAAGGGAAGAAAGATGAAAGCAATACCAGATGGAACGCCAGGGGATGCTGAAGATGTAAAGTCTCGTTCGGATGAAAAAGACCAAACAACCCTATACGTTCTGCGAAGAAAGGTGTGACCCGACGAATCAGGCCAAAGATGCGAGAATAGGGGGAGATTTAGGGATGATGATGCCCATAAAAATGCAGAAAGATCTTCGCCGGAATCCCTTGATATCGTTATCATGCAAAAATGTCTCAATCCAAGTAGCCGCGGCCGACCAAAACACCATGTCGAATGTACCGAAAATCAAAATGTGAAAGGCTCTGGAGTCCAGGCCAATTATCTTTTGGCGACGCAATTACCGGATGGTGCTCCATTCCGTAAATTTGCTAACCCCTCGACGCGAGTCACGATTAGCTCGCTTGTCATAAATCTTCCAGAAACGGAGAGTCTCGTCACCAGCACCAGTCACGACGGTCTGGCCGTCGGGACTCATGGCGAGATACAGAACACGGAACGTGTGGCCGGTCAAGGAAGCAACCTGCTCCATGCGCGGATACTTCCAGACGACGATCTGGTTCTGGCTATAGCCGTGGGTACTAATGATCTCATCCGAGTTCTTGGACCACGACAAGTTGCAAACCTGGCTGCCCGTATCCACCTCCTTGATAAGGGCGCCAGTGGATGTGTTCCAGAATTTGATCGTGCGGTCTGCGGTACCGCCACCCGAAGCAAGTAGATGGTGTTGGTGAGGGGACCAGGCAATGGCCTTGACAGCGGCACAGTGGTCGGAGAAGCGATAGAGGGGGGTTTCGCTCAGCTTGTCCCACACCATAAGCTTGTTGTCGTTGCCGCCAGAGGCCAGTTGACCATCTTCCGTATTCCATTTCAGTCCACAAACTTCTTGTTTGTGGCCAGACAACCGCCGAAGGTACTGATCAGGAGAACGAACGTCACGGTGGTAGATGAGGCGGTCTCGAGAACCGGATGTGAGAATATGGTCGTTCCAGGCTAGAGCACCGACACGATTGGTGTGGCCTACCATGGTCCGCAGTCGTCGACAATGCTCTGCGTCCCATATCTGTACGAGACCCTTGCCCGTCCCAATTGCAAGGTGGGTACCTCGCTGGATCCAGCTCACACTCGTCACGGTATCATCCTTCAGCTCACAGAGCTTGGTCACTCGGCTAGACTGCGAGTTCCACATGTAGACGGAGTTTGCTAGCCCGACACCCAGCACATTGGAGCTGCCCCAGTCAACAAGGTTGAGGTAGAAATCATCCTGCAGATCAGGAGCATCGAGGACCTTGAAAGGAACCTTGTTGATGTAGCGAGGCTGCTTTCGCGGGGTTTCAAGGATGCGCTGACTCTCGTATCGAATAGGTGAGGTACTGTAGAGCTCGGAACGGACATTCAGGTTGGGTGCATGGGCGCTTCGGGGAGTCTTGGAGGGGGTCGGATGACCCGATCCGGGACGGGTCGGGCCGTAGTTGAAGAGATTCTTGTGCGGAGTTGAGGGGGTAATTCCAGATGGATGAATGTTGCCTATCAAGTGAGCAGGGGGTGTGTGGGATCGAGTCTTGTCATTGATACCGTTGCTGAAGCCCAGCAAAGGATCCGATGGAAGGGAGTCGAGATCAGGCTGAGGAACGGTACTGCCGAAGAGTTCGCTGCGCAGGACTCGGGAAAAGGTACGATTGGCTTCTTCAGCTGTTAATTTGACAAAAGTTAGCTAGGAGTCTCCCTCGCGGCGGTTGCCGGTGCTTGCCAAATGGGGTGAAACGAACTCTTCTGGAAATGCAATTCAGAATGTGGAGCGCGCCGCTTGGACTTGGAAGGAGTGGTCGGACATCCATCCTCATGAAGCAGACTGTACGTCGCTTGCAAATCTTGACCATCGCGATTTGGAATGAATCTTGAGAGTCCAGTCAGTCACGCACTCATCAAGACCCGGTTCGTCACATTTCCCAGTATCTTCCACATTGACACCGAATGAGACTTACCTATCACCATAGACCCGCTGCCGTTTGCGACAAGGGCTCATCCCCGGTGTCCTCTCCCGCTGGCGCCCTGCCTCTTCAATGTCTTTCAAGGCCTTATCAAGCGCCCTGGCATCCACAGGTTCCGATTCCTTTTCAGTTCGTGGACGGTTGTCCAAATTATCCGGATAAAAGATGGTTTTCTTCGCGGGTAGGCTCGGGGGTGTCGTGGACGCAGGAGGGGAGACCATCTTAGCAGCAGCCTGTGCGCGAGCTGTCCCTCTGGTGACCCGTCCACTACTGCTCACACCCGCCTCTGTGTCTTGAGAGCGATCCCCCATACTGGCGGCAGGTCCTCAGGCCCCAGGAGCAGATTGTACGATAGCCGGCAGTCCAGGTTGCGCATGCGACAAGAGGTACACGTTGGACGGAATTTCGATTGAGCGACGCAATAAGCTGGGGTCGGAGGGGGAATGGGCAGGAACAACGGTGATATTTGAAGGCGGTGGGTGGCTTGGTGACGAGATGAGGAGATTCAGCGACAGACGGGCGCTTGGACACAGTGATAACGGGCACAACCCACCACTTCGACGGGCTAGACAAGACACCACTGCGTTTCAGCAGAACAAAGAGAATGGCATTCAAAGCGCCAGATGGGGAGGAGAATGGACTGGAATGTCTTCAAGGGAGGGCTACTGTCTCTCTTTCCGCATCCCTCTCGCAAGTCACGCGTCGGATACACTAAGCCTATTTGGGTGCTGGTGCTGGGGGAATCGTCAAGCTGCTTCTTGACACTACGTAACTGGTCTACTTGGATAAATGGATGATCTTCTTTGAATGAACTGCTGCTCCACCCATTGCTCCGCTGCAATTTCCCTTATTTTTGATTTGTCCTGTGAATCTGTTTTAGTTTGGTCGGAGGCCCATCTTTGTTGTGGCGCGGGGACCGTGGTTCATTGTTGTGATGGGCGCCATCTTTGCCTCATGCTGCATCCTGCAGTCTCAGAGTTGTTTACATTTTGTGTGATCGGACGCGTGAAATCCTTCCATGAAGAGCACAAAGAGTTCCACTGCTAGACAGCACCTGCAGAGACTCGCGGCGGGGAACACACCTGACGCGACTGACCCGTCGCGCTTCCACGCGCCTCGGGCGCGCAGAGCTTGGGCCATTTGGCCGTGATGGCACAAACAGAACTAGCGAGACCATAGCAACGATCCTTGCCAATCAATCCAGCCCACCTATTCGGAGAATATGGTCAATTCCCCCAGTCCAATAGAAACCATCGAGTCTTACACTGATCCATGGCTCAATAAATGCCGTTAATCAACAGGTACATACTGCACTGTAAGTGATGTACATAGAGGTACCAATTTCTATGAGTAATTGTTTACTAGACACTAAGACAAGAAGCTGTACTCAAGCCGTAACTGGTAGCGGCAGTATCTGGACACGGTTAATAGATGATATGGTCACTATGGCTACACGATGAGCTAGTACGGCATTGCAGCCGGCAAACCGCCCAAGTCACCGCCACCCGAAAACCCTGCCACCTTTTTGACACCTCCACATCATTCGGGGTTGACTATGCCTGCATTGCCTTACAAATCTGCCTTTTCATTGTCTCCCTGGCGCCACACTTTCTTTCCCCGAGCTTACTATTCCTCCTATCCGAACACTATGGCCTCTAAGCAGCCTGCCAAGGACTTCCTGTCCTTTGTGAACGCCTCCCCCACTCGTAAGGCTCTTTCCGAACCCCGAAAACCCACCGGGAACCCGTCACTGACTAGGTCTAGCCTTCCATGCGGTTCAGTCTGCCAAGGACCTGCTGGCCAACGCTGGCTTCCAAGAGATCAAGGTATCCTTCAATGCTCCACCCTTCTTCACCGGCTATAGAGGCTGATCTAACACTATTTCCATAGGAGAAAGATTCTTGGGCAAAGACATGCAAGCCTGGGGGCAAGTACTTCTTGACTCGCAACACCACCACCTTGGTTGCTTTTGCCATTGGAAAGCAATGGCAGGTATGTCATTAATCTATCATAGCTCCAGTCTATGCTTCGCGCTTACCGCCAAATTAGCCGGGCAACTCCATCTCGATGATCGGTGCTCACACCGACTCTCCGGTTCTTCGGGTTAAGCCCGTGAGCAAGAAGAGCGGCGACGGTTTCATCCAGGTCGGCGTTGAGACCTATGGTGGTGGCCTCTGGCACACCTGTATGCTTCATTACCTTTTCTACCTTTTTAGCTTTTGATCAGCTACTAATAGTGCCTAGGGTTTGACCGTGACCTTGGCGTCGCTGGCCGTGTGATGACCCGTGCCAGTGATGGATCAATCGTGCAGAAGCTGGTCAAGGTCGATCGTCCCAGTATGTTGTCCACATCCTCATTGATTGAAAATTGCTAATCCGTCGCAGTCCTTCGTATTCCTACTCTGGCCATTCACTTGGACCGTCAGGAAACCTTTTCCTTTAATAAGGAGACTCAATTGTTCCCAATTGCTGGCCTAGTGGCTGCTGAGCTCAACCGCACGGGCGATTCCAAGCCTGCCGGTGCTGATGCCGCCAACGGTGCTAACGATACTGAAAAGGTCGATGACTTCTCTCCTCTGAAGGCTGTGACCGAGCGCCACCACACCCACTTTGTCGAACTTGTTGCTGCCGAGGCTGGCGTCAAGCCTGAAGACATTCTGGACTTTGAACTGATTCTGTTCGACACCCAAAAGTCCTGCCTTGGTGGCATGCTTGAGGAGTTTATCTTCTCTCCCCGTCTGGACAACCTGAACAGCTCTTACTGTGCCACCGTCAGTCTGATCGACTCCGTCGCTGACAAGGCTGCGCTGGACAACGAGTCCGCCATCCGTCTCATTGCGCTGTTCGACCACGAGGAGATTGGTAGCCGGACTGCCCAGGGTGCGGACTCCAATGCTCTGCCTGCCATCATCCGCCGCCTGTCAGTGCTCCCTTCATCATCTTCCTCGGATAGCGACCTGGCCACTGCCTATGAGCAGACCCTGTCCACTTCTTTCTTGGTCTCTGCCGACATGGCTCACTCCGTCAACCCCAACTACGCTGCCAAGTACGAGCAGGACCACAAGCCCGAGATGAACAAGGGCCCCGTGATCAAGATTAACGCCAACGCTCGCTATGCAACCAACTCTCCGGGTATCGTCCTGCTCCAGGAGGTCGCACGTAAGACGGCGGCCGAGAGCGGTGAGCCCATTCCCTTGCAGCTGTTCGTTGTCCGCAATGATTCTAGCTGCGGTAGCACCATTGGCCCTATGCTCTCCGCTGCCCTGGGTGCCCGTACCTTGGACTTGGGCAACCCGCAGCTGAGCATGCACAGTATCCGTGAGACTGGTGGCACTTATGATGTCGCCTATGCGATCCGCCTCTTCACTGGATTCTTCCAGCACTACTCGGAGCTGTCCAAGACCATTTTTGTGGACTAGACATTAGTATAATTGGAATAAACGAGGAAATAATTTCAGTCAGAATCGTGTTGTTCATTTATTGAGATACCCAAGTAAAATGGGCTGTATACAGTTGTAAGCACTATCGGCACGTGCTCGGCCCGAGCCCAAGCCGCCCACCTCCACCTCCACAGCTTCTTATCAGACATAATCCCCCCCGAACCGCCTGGACACTCGATTGCCGAAGCTCGTCCACGCCCCCATGACCCTCTATGACCGACGTCGATGCCTTTAGGGATGCAGAGCACATCGCCGACGTCTCTGGCATTACCCTCGAAGATGTGGAGCCCGGATCACCAGCGTCAACCAGCAATGGCGGCGGCACCCGCAATCAGTATAACGGCCGCGTGAAGAAGCTCCAGTCCGCCGCAAAGGTTGCCTTTATTGATCGATTACTTCGCGACCTTGATATATTGATATATTGCGAATTATCAGCGCTGTATTATATGGAGTGAGTTTGACTTTTCTTTCGCCCCCGGTACAAGTTGTTATGGGGCAGTTTGAGCGTGGGGAGACTCCGTCTTACTTGCGGACAACACCGCCCTCCCCTCGCCCTCAACGAATACCAAGCTAACCCTTCCGCTCCTGTAGCTGCTCCGTCACCTTATTTGCAATTCGTGCCGTTGTCCAACTAATATGCTTCACCCCTAAAGCGCCACCTTTTGACCCTACGCGCAATCAGCCCTTCGTCGGCGCCATCCTCGCCAGCAACCTAGTCTGCATGATCTTCCATGCCTTTTTCATCCGCCCCGAGGCCGGCGAAGCTACACGGGGATACCTACATGGCGGCTTATTCATCGATTTCATTGGGCAGAAGCCTGTCCCCGTGTTCCGGCTGCTTGCATTCGATACCCTAATCCTGCTAGTCGATATTGTTATGCTAGCCTTGATCATTGAACGGGTAAAGACCGTGAGTACCAAGGGGCTGGCCTCCTTGATTCCAAATGGAACTACAACGACAAATGCGAATGCAGAAACGAATACAGCGCAATCGGGACAACAAGACCATGATGCGGAGGAACGCGGGGTTCGCAGTAGTGAAGACGGGGGTGATATTGATGATTCTCGCGAAAACGATACTACAAATACCTCTCCAGTTCCCGAGATTGACGATGATGTACAAGATGAGCGTACGACATTGCTAGCTGACCCCGGCGAAGGCGGTACGGGACCAATTCCGCGGGGTGGCCACCCGTTAGACTCGTTCTCGACGGGTCAAGCAGTCATTATGGATATGGGCTTTTTCACGACAATGCGTGATCAATGGCGACATTCGGCCACGCCGGTCCGACGAGGGGATCCTCGTTACGCACCCTCTCCGCAGGCTGCGACTTTCCTTCGAGAGCGCTTGGGGCTACAGGTTGGAGGTGATGGCCGTATTGTACGCATAGAGCAATGACATTTCGGACATGCATGGTATTGTTGTGTTTTCCGTGATATGTACTCTACTTTTCCGTATTCCACACTCCCATGATGTGGACCACGAGTACTCGGTGCTGGCTATATGGATGCTTATACCATACTCCTAAATCGAGGGGTAGGTCTGGCGTAGAACCGTCGAGAAAAGAGCCTGTATTTGAAAAGTAGAGCTGGCCATAATAATGATACAAATCGAGCACCTCGAACATGAAATTTTCCTCCAAGCTTCCTATCCACATCTACCACCCTCTAAACAGCAGGCGGCTTCCCTTCCCCTTCACCACCTTTCCCCTCATTCTGAACCCTCCTATCCAAAATCTCATCCACAATCCCCAACCCCAACGCCTCTTGCGCCCCCATGAAATAATCCCTCTCCATCAACTTCTCAATCTCATCCAACGACAACTTCTTCTTGCCCGTCAAATGACGCTGATATATCTGATTGAGTTGGTGGCGCACGCGCAGGATTTCCTTCGCATGAATTGCAATATCGGTTGCTTGGCCGAAGTAGCCGCCTGAGGGTTGGTGGATCATGATCGAACTGTGTGGGAGACAGTATCGTTTTCCGGGTTGACCGCCACAGAGGAGGAGGGAGCCCATTGAGGCTGCTTGGCCGACACAGATCGTGCTTACGGGGGAGGCAATGTAGGTCATTGTGTCGTAGATTGCGAGGCCTGGTGAGGGAAACAGTGAAGTACGTTAGCAAGTTGTGAGGTAAACTTGGTGATTGGTCGGGCGGTTGGTAGAGATGTACCTGCTGTTACTGAGCCACCAGGGGAATTGATGTAAAGGTGGATTGGTTTCTGGGGGTTATCGGCTTCGAGGAAGAGAAGTTGGGCGACGATTGACGCGGACATAGACTCATCGACTTCGCCATTGAGGCAGATGATGCGCTCCTATGAATGGAATTGTGAGCATAAGGTCAAAGAAAGCCACATGTGGAGCTAAGTATGTACCTTGAGAAGCCGCGAAAAGATATCATCTAAATTGTGCGGAGAGATGCTGGTTAGCTATGTTTTCATGTTCGAGTTCGATTCGCAACGTACAGGTGTGCCAGCCACCTCCCTAAGTATATGTCAGTATACAGTAACCACGTACAGCTTCCAGTTTGCAAAGAAGACTTACCACTGTCTCTGTCACGAATGGCGTGGGTGTCCAGCTCCGCGGGGGAGTGCGGTCAAGCGAAGCTATTGAGCTCGAGAAGGGCCGTGAACCGAGACCAGACTGAACGCGCGAAATGGAGCAGCGAGGAAGCGACCGCCCTAGTCGCTGAAGGTTAAATGTGGGCCTCATCTTCAATTGTGGTTCAGTGTGTGTAGCACTTCCCACGAAAGTGCTTTTGCAGGAGTTGATGATGAACGGAGCAGACTTGCGCTTGCGGCCTCGAAGGCGGAGCGGAGATGGTGACTGATAAGCGGAATCTGTTATCGGCGCTAAGATAATGGCGCGGCATTTTCCTTCCACTTTCATGCCTTGCAAACACCCTCTCCAACAATGGAGTGCACAAGACGATCATTGTCATATGCAACATGGCGTCTACGGATGTTTCGTCAGCTACTGGGCCCTTCACCCGTGCCATCATCACGCCGGGACCTCTCGAGCTCACGAATTCACGCTGATGAATCTCCCTCCGATGCAACAAGTCTTCCGCCATCAAAGCGCCTACCGCAATCACCTCTCGTCACACATCCTCGATCGAGCCCAATTAAGTCCCGAAAGAAACTCCCAACTTCAGAAGATAATTCTGAGCTGAAGAACAATCCATGGGCAGTAGCACTCGCGTCGCCAGTGCGGATGTGTTCCGTGACAGGAGCCCGCATACCACGCGACCTACTCGGAGAATGGGGTCTTGTCCGGAAGCCAGACACAGAGAATAGCTATTTGCTCCCTGTGGACTTGATCAAGGACTCACTACAAGCGCGGCAAGAAGTAAAATCTGCGGGCGCAGAGAAAACTCCAGACCTAGATCCAGCGACAGTGGCTGCCGATGCGACCCTGACAGCGAAGGCGATTCGCAACGAGAAACCGGGACAGCAGCTCCTACTTCGAATGATCAACTCACTGCAATTGCTCGAAGGGCTCGCGAAGCCGTTGTCTAAGAGTTCCGGGAAGAAGCCGGCTATTTCAAGACTCCTGCCATTCCGATGGAAGCATCCACTGGGACCGATTACATCTCGTGTGGAGAAGCTAGTGCTTTGGAGACCAGGCATGGCGGAATATTTGTTGCAGCAAAGGCGCAGTGACGTTGTGAAAAAGCTGGAAAGGGCTCGGCGGAGGTACACGCGCCTGGATATTCCGGGTGGAGCTTGGAATATCCTTGACCTCCAGGAATATTCCAATAATGGGCTGGTGGATGCCTTGAAACGCCTTGGATCTTTCGATCGGATGGCATCTGGGGCAGTTCTTTTGCTTACGCCGATGAGCAATGGCGAATCATGCCCGATGGCAGTGTTCAACCCATCGACTCAAAGCGAAGTTCCAGTGTTTGACCTATCGGCACTTCTGTCTGCTTCTGATTTGGCAACGCTACGTGATATGGAAGCTCCGCATTTCCGCAATTCGGCCCTATTCTTTAGGCCGGATGATCGTATCGGAGTGGAGACCATACTAGCCCTATGGAAGCTTCAGCGGTTCATGATTGAAACACCGTCTTGAAAACTAGAGGAATGAAGCTGGGTTCGTTGGATGCGTGACTCAACCTTAATGAAGTGGAATTTCTGTAAATATGTGCAACTAATATTTAGCTCCATTCGATGGAGTAGCGTACTTCTCATAAATCAGTACACTGAATCAGGTAGAATAACCCGCTCCGATCAATGAGCTGTAGGGACAGCACCGGTTATCAAGGTAGGCTATAGTGAGACGCCTCTACGTCATGGCAAAAGGCTAAGCATCAGTGCGAATTCGCTGGACGATGGAGACAAGCTTAGCATAATTGCTGTACATGGATTATAGCTGCCCTTAAGATAGCTGCGGTCGTCGGAGTAGGAATTGCCCCCCCCC